CCTGGGCCTTGGAGGGGCCTTCCTCAAGGGAAAGGAGCGGAAGTGAAAGTTCGCTGAGCACCAGCTGTGCGCCTGGTGCTTTCACATTTGATGCTCAGAAGCAGCCCCATGAGGTGGATGGAGATTTATACTCCTATTTGCTAGGCGAAGAAACTACAGCTCAGAGAGGTGAACCGACTTCCCCAATGTCTCAAACTAGTTGTCAGGCCATGGAGAATTAAGCTTAAATCTGTCTCCAGGTCCCACAGATACTTGGCAGGGGTTAGGGGGGAACAGGACGTCCAGTGTCTACATTAAAGCCCTGATGCGGCTTCGGGAAGCGGGGACCTCAAGAAAGGGTGGGTGGGCCTGGGGCTCCTATGTTCTGGAGCAGGGCTAGGTCTGAAGCAGGCTCCCTGCCGAGTGGCCAGCTGCCATATGGCAGGGGAGGTACGTTCCCTTAGCCATGGGCTGGAAATATGACGTAAACTCGTCAGGGACAGTGTGACCTCCTGGGCAGGCTCTGAAGAACACAGCCACGGTGTGAACTGAACTCTGGACCTGAATTAATGGGCCTGGCTTTGAATCCCCTGTGGGGCTGTCTGATTTTGAGCAAGTCACTTTCCCCTCTACACACCAGAGGGAGGCGAACTGATAAATGGTCCGTGGGGGGCATTCTAGCTTTGCTGCTCATGGTTTTCAGCCTTACTTGGCCACTGCACACAGGCCAAGAGGCACGTCTCTTCAAGCCTTCCCCACAACAGAAGGTACAGATGCAAAAACTGAGGCTTGGAGAGCTGATAGCCTTCATCCAGGGTCCCAGGCTAATAATGTAACAGAAAGAACAGGGACGCCCGGCTGGCTCAGTCAGTAAAGCACCTGACTCTTGATCCAGGAGTCATGAGTTCAAGTCCTACGTGGGGCAGAGAGCTTACTTTAAAAAAAAAAAAAAAAAAAAGTGGGCTCCTGGGGGACTCAGTGGGCTTAAAAAAAAAAAAAAAGAATAGGGCTGGGGAGGGCCACACAGATAGAGATGTTGAAGGCAGGAGCACCCTGGTCCAGGGGTGGACCTCAGCTCAAATACCTGCAACCTGATTTTGATACAGATGAGGCTCTGGAAACTAACTCCTATCAACCAGGTGTTTAAGAGGCATAAACAGACCCAAGTCTCCACAGTGACCAGAATGCTCATGGCTTCGCCTCTCTGGGCTGCAATGAGGACTGAGAGCAGGTAGCATAGGGCCTGGCACGTTGTAGGTACCCTTGAAGGGACACACATTATTGCTTCTACTAGGCCTACAAAATAGAACTGTGCTTAGAATGGCTTGGTGTTGCGTTTTTGCCTCCCCTTACTTGCTGTGTGATCTTGGGGAAGTTACTTAACATCTCTGCGACTCAATTTGCTTATCCGTAAAAGAAGGGTAGTTATGAAAGCTCCTTCCTAGGGTTATTAATGAGATCATATGTGGGAATTGCTTGGCACAATGCCAGGCACTGGGTAAGTATTTAATAAATTAGAAATTTTTAGACCAATAGTTATTGCCACCCAGACTTCTAGGAAGTCAAATGACTCTCGGCAGAGTTGGTGGCACCGCTTAGGATCTGAGGTGGGTGAGGAGGGAGAGTCCTGGGGACTATCTGTCTGCTGATGCCTGAGCACAGAGAACCCAACCTGCTTCTTCTGCCTTCTCTCCTCTGCCTTTGACTCTTTGGTTCCCCGAGTTTCTCTTAATTTCTACCTTTCTCTTTTTCAGTCTGTGTCTCTCTGTTGTCTTTCTATTTCTCGTTTCTGTCTCTGTTTGTCTCTTTCTTTTTATTCCTTCCTGGCAGTGAGCTCCTGGAGCCTGTGAGCCCGGGCTCTGGGGAGCTGATTGCATGAACCTCTCCCCAGCCCTGCGCTCAAGAAGTCACCTCGGTTACTTGAAATCAGCCATGGTGGGAATATTTATAAAACAGAAATCAGCAAATGCTACAAATCAGGGCCTTTTTTTTCCTTTGAGAGTCAGTATGCCAGCACACCACACTGTGTTTTTCTTTTCTCTCTGTATCTCTCAGTCTCCGTCTCTCTCTCTCTGCCCTCTCTTTCTCCGTCTCTCCCATCTCTTTCTTTCCTCTGACAAAGCCGGGTGAGTGTGGTCACATCCAGCGTGCCCCCCCACCAATGCCTTGGACCATGCGGATGCCAGACCCTGTGCCCCACTCCCTCACCCCACACCCCCCAACCCCGTCAGCATACGGGTGCCCAGAGAGCCATGCCTAGCCCCGGACTTCAGTCCCCAGCAGGCTGAGGAGTACCACGTCCCGAGAGCTGGTCCCCACTGCCTGTTCCTCACACTGTCCACCCTGTCAGGGCTCTACCTCAGCCCACAGAGACCTCCACCTCCTTCTCAGAGGCTCACAGTTTGTAAACAGCACCACCCCCCCAAACCCATTCCAGGCATGCAGCATGTGGGACTCCTGTTAGGCTGACTTTAAAATGGGGGGGGAGGGGCGCCTGGGTGGCTCAGTGGGTTAAAGCCTCTGCCTTCGGCTCAGGTCATGATCCCAGGGTCCTGGGATCGAGCCCTGCATCTGGCTTTCTGCTCCGCAGGGAGCCTGCTTCCTCCTCTCTCTCTGCCTGCCTCTCTGCCTACTTGTGATCTCTGCCTGTCAAGTAAATAAATAAATAAATCTTTAAAAAGAAACAAAATGTGGGGGGGGCGCCTGACTGGCTCAGTCAGTGGAGCGTGTGACTATTGATCTCTGGGTTGTGAGTTCGAGCCCCACATTGAGCCTACAGCCTACTTAAAAAAAAGAATTAAAAAAATAAAAATGTTGTGGTAATATTTATCTGTGTGTTTTTGGAAGTGGCAACCTTGTATCTATGGGGGGACCCAAGAGGTTGTACGCCGGGTCTCAAAAAAAAAAAAAAAATCCGTGTCTCTTTTAGGGAGGTGCTCTGTATGGGTCTATGACTTGGGAGAGGACTCTGTATATCTCTGTGTGTCCCTCTGGGGGTTCTGTGCCTCTGTGCATGCTGGCAGGAATGGCTGTCATTATCCGTTTCTGTGACCAGGCGATGGAGAGAAGTGGTTCAGGTTCTGGAGCCAAATGTCAGGATTCATCATGTGTGCGACCTCAGGCTGGTCTCTCAAGCTCGCCATGCCTCAGTTGCCTTATCAATAATAGTCATACGTCAGAGTGTCGTTATGAGAATAAAATGCAATAACGTATGTCAAGTGTTTAGTGCTGTGGTCAGCCCCTCGTGAGAGCTATAAATCCTGTCTGTGCTGTTCTCATGGAGAGGCGTGTGCAGTGTGTGTATGTGCACCTATGCGTGTGGGTGGGTGAGGGCCGGCGGTGTCGGTGAGGGGGATGTGGCTATTCTCGAAGATGTCCGTGTGTAAAGGAGCTCAGAGTCTCTGTGAGGTGCGTCCAAGAATGTGTCAGGAGGCTGTGTGGATCTGGGTGTAGGCCCGGGGAGCCATTTGCGATGGGTCATTGTCTTCCTGTGAGAAGACCTCATTCTCACCCTGTAACCTTTGTTTTCTTCTTACACCCATCTGTCCCCTCGGCGCCTGAAATCCCTTCCTTCCCTGGGCCCTGGATGCCCCCATCTCCACTTATACCCTCTCTCTGGCCCTGACCAGCCCTCAGTGTCCTGGGGCCTTTCAGACACAGTGGCTGCACCCCAGGGGAGGGGTCCTGAGGTGAAGATCTCAGCAATGGCTTAGTGAACACAGGCTATTTTAGTTCTCACCACAGCCCGCCTCGCAGTTCGCCAGATGGGTGTCACTCCCCTACACACACCGGAGAACAGTTACAGTGAAGAGTGAAAGGGGCTGGCAGGTCGAGAGTAGAGGTTAGGACACCGATGTGACAGAGCCATTGGCGAGGCGGCTGGATCCGGTAGAGCTAGGAAGGCTTCCTGGAAGAGGTGAGCAAGCATATGCAGTAGGAGGAGCAGGACACAGAGAGAAGGGGAGGAGGATGTCCATAAGGGAACTGGACTTGGGGGTCAGGAAAGGCAAGGAGGGGGCACTTGTCACAAGGGTCCTCAGCCCCTCTGGGGGAAGTCAGGGTTCACTGGGTTGGCCCCGCCCTACTACTCTCCATTCCTCTCACATCTTAAGAAACGCTCTCCCCGGCAGTTCCTCTCTGAGTGTTGCAATGGCAGAGTTTCTGGTGGGGCGTGGGGAGCCCTTGCTCAATGACCTGCCTGTCCTGTGGCTCAGAGGATGTAGCTTTTGGGAAAGTCTCGGCTCATGTAGGGGGGCTCCCCAAGGAATCCTGGTGGCTCTGTCTTCTGACCTGGGCCTTTCCCTGATGTGGGGATAGGAGCGAGCTGTGGAGGTAGGTGTCCACCTTCGCCTTGCCACTAGGTGTGACCCTGGGACCGTTGGGGATCACGGAGCTCAGGGTGGGAGCAGAGGCGGCCTGCAGTGACGGGGGTGCCTGGGAGGGAGCCGAGTGTGGTGTAATAGAAATCCAACGAAAGCGGTGGGTCTGACACAAACAGTTAAGTATCTGAGGAGGCGTCTGTCACCCTGAGAGGTAGCCTGTGTGCCTGCACATGTGTGTATTCGTGTGTCAGAGCTTGGCCTCGCGTGAGAGTTCAGTTGTGTTAGTATGTTGGTGTTGTTGGTGAGCACACTCACTCAAGTATCCACTGTGGGTGTTGGTGTGTGACTCTGTGCTGGTGTGTGTGCGTGTTGGTGAGCTGGTGTGTCAGGTGGCTATGAGTGTGAGAGGGTTGGTGTGGGCGGTGTGTCACGTGTGAGGGTGGATGTGTAAGTTCGCCAGGGGCGGTGGGAAGGAAAGCGGAGGCAGAAGTCATGCTGGGACAGAGCCCAGGCCTGGCTTCCTGAAGAGGGCAGAAGCTGGCAGCTGTTTTGCAGGAGCCTTGGCAGAGCCTTCCCCTTCCATGTCCTTCTCTCTCGCCCTCAGGTCTCTGGCCCCTCCCGAGGACCATGCCGCAGCCCCGCTGACCCAGCAGTAGGGGCCTGAGGGTGAGCGGGGAGGGGAGAACTGAGGGCTTTGGAATAGGGGTCAGGAAAAGGGGTGGGGTGGCCTTCCTGAGCCCCACAACTTATCCCAGCCCCCTCCTCCTCCAAGAGCCCTGTTGCTAGGTAACAGATGGGGGAGCCACAAAGAGGCAGCTTGAGAGGCCAGAGGCTGGACCCACAACAGGAAATGGCCTTGATCCCCCTCTGCAGGGAATCTCCAGGTGCAGACACACAGAGCCTCACACACACTCACACACAAACCTGTCTCGAGACCCGGACACACACATCACAGAGACGTTCACACATACTCCCATACAAAGACCTGCATACACACACACACACACACACAGGCACATACACTCCCACACAGGGCTATGCACGTTGTCATACACATGGACACAGAGGCACCTACTCACACAGACCACCTGATACACACACGCATACAGAGGAACACACATACACGCTTGCACAGAAACAGCGTATGCACGTACACACTCAGAAGACATGAACACACACAGAGCCATCACATGCCCAGAGACATGCATCCACACCCATATACTCACATAGACACACAAACATTCACAAGAGGCTGCACATGCATAGACATATCCACGGGGAACTCACAAATACTTAGAGACACACAAAGAGACAAGCATATCCAAGCACTCTGAAGAAGTCACAAAAACACGATGTACTGAAGCAAGAGGAGGCAAAAATCGATCGATAAACACGGCAGCAGCCCAAAGCAGAAAACCAGCGCACTAAGGGTATACAGTCTGCAAACCTACGACAGCAGCTGGGACGTAGACCCAAAGGTAGCCTCGCCTCGCCTTTACCCTTCGCCAGGGCGGACCCCAGAGGGGAAACTGCACGCCCATGTGAGTGTGCGTGTGCACGCGTGCATGCGTGTGTACACGGGCAGGGGACCTATCTGGCAGGGGCCCCAGAGTGAGGCATACCCCATTCTGTAGCAGGGCACCTGGAATGGGCTGTGTGTTCTGCAAGAAGTTGGAGCCGGGGCCCAAGGAGGATGTTGGCCTGGAGAGTGACTTCAGGGGCCATGGGGCCGCGGACCGCTATGGCCCTGACCCAACTCAGGCCCGGACTGTGTCCTCCTTTGCCCATATCCCCAACTACAACTTCTCCACTCAGTCCACCAGCCCCGCCTTTCTCGATGGGAGCACCATCAGGGGCATCTCAGGTGAGTCTAGTGGGCTGGAGGCAAGACCTATCTGGCCCCTGGGGGAAAGGGAGGCATCGTTAGGATGCTCGAGCTTTCAGAGCACGGTCTGAGGAAGAATGTACAGCCCTACCTCAGAAATCCCAGCCTGAGGGGAAGACAACTCTGTTCCCATCTGAGAGAGGGCCCCTGATGACAGGCCCAAGCGGGGAGTCTTGGTGGGGAAGAGGAGGAATGGGTGACGGGAACTCCCCAGGGTGGGAGGGATGGTCTGGAAGTCATGTGTCCTGAATCCATGGGAGGCCAAGCTGTGAAGCTCAAATCAGAAATCCACTGGACTCCAAAGGCCTTTGGGCAACAGGCGCTGCAGCCATGGGGAGGCACAGAGCCTGGTTGGGGAAGAGGACTCGGGGGGGTGCAGGCCCCTTGGAGCCCACATCCCATGCCCTACTCTGCTGAGTAGCCCTGACTCTGCAGGGACTGGGGTGACCCTGTTCGTCGCCCTGTATGACTATGAGGCCCGGACAGAGGATGACCTCCCCTTCACCAAGGGTGAGAAGTTCCACATCCTGAACAACACGTAAGTAACCAGGCCACCTGGCTCAGGATGTGGCCGGGGCTGGGAGCAGGACCCAGAGAGGAATCCTGCCTGGTCTCTCAGAAAGCAGCCTAGTTGGGGACACAGAAACATGACAAGAACAACTCTCAGTAATCACTACTATGTATGGGGAGCATGAGGACATATGGGCCCAGAAGGAACACTAAATACGGTCTTGAGGCTAGTGATCAAGACAGGCTTCCTGGAGGAGGTGATTTCTAAGGGGAAACTAGAAAAATGAATAGGTGTTGAAGGAAGAGGGGAGAAAAGAGGAAGAGAGAATGAGAGAACACGAGAATAAATGATAACTTGTAGAAACCACCAAGTGGTTTGGTCTTGGTGGATCATAAAGTATGAGGTGTAGAATGGACAGAGCAGAAACTACAGAGGCAGGGGAAACAGATTCTATAGAGCTTTTTAAGCCATATTGAAGAATTTGGATTTTATCCAAAAGGAAATATATTGTCCTTGCGGGTAGGGGAGGATTTCAGTGGGGAAGTGACTGAGTTACCTGTCCACTGCCCACCCAAACCCCAGCCCAGCTAAGGAGCCAAAGACAAAAGCCAGGAGGCCCACACATCCCCAGACATGTTGCTTCTGCAGGGAAAAGTCTCCTGAGGTAGCTTCAGTGGCTGAGAGCAGAACAGACAAGAGGCCGGGGCGGCAGGGGGGGAGAGGGGGGGCTGTCCAAGGTGAGGGGCTGGCAGGGCTAGCCTTCTCCTGAGCCTTCGCATGCCCCTGCCAGGCTCCAGGGTGCTCCAGGGTGCTCCAGGGGGCTGGGCTGCCATTGATGCCCTATGTCCTGTGTCTGCAGTGAGGGTGACTGGTGGGAAGCTCGTTCTCTCAGCTCCGGACAAACTGGTTATATTCCCAGCAACTACGTGGCCCCTGTGGATTCCATCCAGGCTGAAGAGTGAGTAGGGGGTAGGAGGTGGCTATCCCTATGGACAGGACGGGAACCTGGCATCCAAAGACACCTCTGGGTCACAGCCCCACTCTGAGCCTATCTTCTTACCTATATTTCTGTGAGGTCATTGTGAGAATAAGGGAAGAGAATAATGATGTTTATGAGAGTAAATAGTATTTATGTACCATGTTCTATGTTCCGGGCACTATTCAAAGGGCTTTCTGTGTATTAGCAGAGTGAGGAACTAATATTATCCTGCTTTATGAATGAAGCAAGTGAGGCACAGAGATATTAAATATTCTACTTGAGTTCACATGGCTAGTAAGTCGGTGGAGTTTGTATTTGAACCCAGATAGTCTGAGGGCACTTGCTAAGCATTATACATATTGACTCTCAGTGATAACAACAGCATACGAGTTTTAGAAAATTGTAAAACCCTAAACCAACACAAGGGGATATTACTTAGAATTAAATCTGTTAAAGGGGCACCTGGGTGGCTCAGTTGGTTAAGCATCTGACTTTTTTTTTTTTAAGGTTTTATTTATTTATTTGAGAGAGAGAGAGCATGAGAGGAGAGAGGTCAGGCAGAGTAGCAGACTCCCCGCTGAGCAGGGATCCTGATGATCCTGGGACTCCAGGATCATGACCCGAGCCAAAGGCAGTAGCTCAACCAACTGAGCCACACAGACACCCTTTTATTTATTTATTTTTTAAAGATTCACTTATGTATTTTATTTTGTTTTGTTTTATTTATTTATTTATTTTTGAGAGGAAGGAAAGCAGTCTCCCTGCTAAGCAGAGAACCCAGTGCGGGGCTCAATCCCAGGACCCTGGGATCATGACCTGAGCCGAAGGCAGAGACTTAACCCACTGAGCCACCCAGGCACCCCGCATTTATTTATTTTAGAAAGAGAGAAAGAGAGCACGAGCAGGAGGAGGGGCAGAAGGAGAGGGAGAGTGAGAGAACAGACTTCCTACTGAGCTCGGAGCCGGATCCCATGACCCCGAGACCACGACCCCAGCTGAAACCAAGAGTCGGACACCCAACAGACTGAGTCACCCAGGGGCCCGGCATCTGACTCTTGATTTCGGCTCAGGTCATGATCTCAGGGTCCTGGGTCAGAGCCCTGCATCTGGCTACACCTGAGTGGAGTCTGCTTGTCTCTCTCCCTCTACCCCTTCCCACACTCACACACCTGTGCGTGCTCTCTCTTGCTTGCCATCTCTCGAATAAATAAATCAATCAAATCTTGGCAGGGGAAAGAATTAATTCTGTTAATGAGACCGGAAATTATCATTCATAGTATACCATTATAACCTGAGATATGACAACAGGGACTTTACATACCTTTAGTCATTTAATTCTCCTAGTTACAATATCGATATTATTGTTGTCCCATTTTACAGATGAGAAAACCAGGGCTCATAAAAACCTTTTTTTTAATCTGTATATATATATATATATATATATATATATATGGGAAAATAAAAGATTGGAGAGACTGCAGAGTGGGAGTCACCAGAACTTGGTGACTAATTTGCCATTGCATTTGGGGAGTGGGAGGAAATCAAGGGTGACCCAAAGTCTTCCTGAGGAACTGAGTGGGTGATGGTGTCATTTGCTAAAGTGGGGAACGTATGAGCAGGTATAGGTGTCTGGGTTCTGGTGGGGGGACTTGTTGGGTTAAAGTTCGCAGAGAGTAACACCCTGGTGGAAGACTGCCAGCAATAGGATTTGGCTGTGCTTTGTTTTTGTTTTTGTTTTTTTAAAGATTTTATTTATTTATTTGACAGACAGAGATCACAAGTAGGCAGAGAGGCAGGCAGAGAGAGGGGGGGGGAAGCAGGCTCCCCACTGAGTGGATAACCCGATGTGGGGCTCAATCCCAGGACCCTGGGATCATGACCTGAGTTGAAAGCAGAGGCATTAACCGACTGAGCTACCCAGGCGCCCCTCAGCTGTGCTTTGTAGGAGAGGCGCGGGACCCAGGCAGGCTAGGCTGCTGAATTAGCCCAGAGGAAGGGGCACCTTTTCCTAGTTGGCACTAAGGCTCTTTGTTTGCTATGGCTCTTGCAGAGGGAACCCCTGGGTATTCTTCAGAGTGGAGGTGACAAAGCTGCATGGGAGGGTGAAGGATGGGGAGGAGAGCGAGAGAGAGATTGGCCCTAGGACCCAACTTTGGAGAAAGCTGCCTTGAAGGAGAAGTTGCTGTTGAAAAATGAGGCCAAGCCAAGTCAGAACAGCCAAGAGGGTGGAGGAGAGGTTGCAGGAAACACGAAAGGGAGTGTCAGAGGCTGCCACTGGATTTGGCAATGGGGGTGACCTTGGTGAGAGATCTCTCTGTGTGAAGTGGGGGTGGGGGCCAGACAGCAGAGCCTGGGGCGTGGGGGGTGGGTAAGAGGTGAGGAAGTGGAGACCCAAGTGTGAAGTGCTTTTTCAAGTGAAGGGAAGGTGAGAGATAGAGCAGAATGTTGGTGGCAAGTTAGAGCTTAGGAAAAGTTTTGGGTGGGGGAGGAAGAAATGGGGGTATATGTAGAGGTTGGTGGGATAGAAAGGCTGTGGGGGGTGGGGAAGGGACTGGTTGGTAGGGGAGAGGTGTCCCTGAGCAGAGGGGAGTGGTCCTGAGCCCAAAGGCCTTCATCTGGGGAAAGTGGTAGGAGTCATGAGGGTGATGAGGCAGAAAGTGGGAGGTATTGGGGGTTCATGCTTGCATCCACAGCTTAGAGGCAGTGTCACAAAGCCCTGAGAGGCACTCAGTGCAGTGTCATGCCTAAGAGCAGTGTTGTGGTTAAGAGTGCAGACCCTTGAGCAGACAACTTGCGTTCCTATTCTGGCAACACAGCTTAAGAGCGTGTAGCCTTGGGCAAGTTGCTTAACCACTAGTAATCTCTATTTCCTCATCTGTCTAGTGGGGCTTAATAATAGGACCTTCCTCACAACGTTGTTGTCAGAACTAAATAAATACTGGGGCGCCTGGGTGGCTCAGTCGGTTAAGCATCTGCCTTCGGCTCATGTCATGATCCCGGAGTCCTGGGATTGAGTCCCGCTTGGTGGGTTCCTGCTCAGAGGGGAGTCTGCTTCTCCTTCTCCTTCTGCTGCTCCCTCTGCTTGTACTTCTCTCTCTGTCAAATAAATTAATAAATAATCTTTAAAAAAAAGAACTAAATGAATATAATATGTATTAAAGCAGCACCTGACAGAAAATAAGTACTGCTATTATTAAGTTAATTATTAAGGAAGTAACTACTATCAAGGGTAGTATGGGTGGGGTCAGGGCTTTGAAAAAACTTGGGAGTGTGTCCCATATACACAGTCCTTCAACAGTTCTTCCTTCCCCATCCTTCCTCGTCGCCTGGACACGCCACTTGCCAGTGCCTTCCCTGTTCCCCAAACTGTGCCTAGTACCTAGGTGTGGACTGGCCTATATATTTATTTTAAAGAATTTATCTATTTATTTGAGAAAGAGAGAGAGAGAGCATGAGTACATGTGCGCACGCACACACGCAAGACGAGGAAGAGCAGGGAGGGGAAGAATGTACGCATGCATGCATGGGGCGGTGTTGGAGGGAAGGAGGAGCAGAGAGAGAGGGAGAAGCAGACTCCTCAAAGAGCAGGAAGCCCAACACGTGGGACACATGGCTCTATCCCAGGACCCTCCAGATTATGACCTGAGTCAAAGGCAGACGCTTAACCTTAAGCCACTGATCCACCCAGGTGCCCCATACTGGCCGATTTAGTAATCAAAAGACATCTGAGTCTGCTATGACACTTGTGGAGCCCCTTCAATTCCCCCTGGGGTACTTCCACAGTGGATTTAAGGCTACAGTTCAGTCCCAGGAAGAATATCTGAGACAGAACAGGAATGCTTGCCACCTGAACTTGAAGTCCAGCCTTCTAAGAACATCCAAATTTCAGAGTGGAGGTAAAGCAACGGTCAGAGCCAGGCAGGAGCAGTCAGCAAGAGGGGAAAAGAAGCAGCAAAGACTGTTGTTTGGAAGTCACAGGAGGAAAAGGTTTGGGGGTAGGGGGTGGATGTGGAAAGAAGGATCTGAGAGATTGCCTGGGTGGTGGGAAAAGAACTAGACGTGGCAGCAGAGAATTTCAGGTAGACCTCATCAACCAGTCCTGCAAGAAGGTCACTTCCCCTCTCTGAGCCTCAAGTTCCGCCTCTGCAAAGTTGAGCCCACAGGGGAGCAGTCGTGAGATGCGTTAAGAACTGGTAGCACCCTGAGGAGGTCACTAGTGACTGGGGTCTTAGCAGTTTTAGTTGAAGAGAAACCCAGAGAGCGAAGAGGAGGAGCCTAACATTTACTGGGCACGTACTTCGAGCCCAGCATTCCACACTTCCCGTCTCTCTGCTTCTCATGACCAGGATACCAAGCAGGTGTAGGAGCCCCGTTTTACCAGTGAGGAAATTGATTCTTGGCTAGTGAGGTGGTTTTCCGCAGGAGGCTGAGTTGGGGGTTGAACTGGGTGTCTCTGACTCTTGCTGGCCGTTCCCAACAGGTGGTACTTTGGAAAGATCGGGAGGAAGGATGCAGAGAGGCAGCTGCTCTCCCCTGGGAACCCCCGAGGGGCCTTTCTTATTCGTGAGAGTGAGACTACCAAAGGTGGGGGCCTGGGAAGGGGCAACTGGGAGGCCCAGTTGTTAGGGTGGGGCTAGGAGCCGTGGTGAGGGGCTTGGGTCAGGGCCTGGGCACAGACCGGGACTGGGGTGGAGGGCAGAGATAGACTGGGACTGGGTTCCAGGGGGTGTGGCCATCCTACTGGGGCCTCTCAAGCTTCAAGATGGAGAGCAAGGAGGAAAGCCGACTTGAAGGTGAACCTTGCCCACAGGTGGCTACTCCCTGTCCATCCGGGATTGGGACCAGGCCAGAGGCGACCATGTGAAGCATTACAAAGTCCGCAAGCTGGATACGGGTGGCTACTACATCACCACACGGGCCCAGTTCGACTCCGTGCAGGAGCTCGTGCAGCACTACATTGGTGAGGGCTGGCTTCCCGGGCTGGTGTGTGCTTTGGGTCCCCGAGCCAACCCGCTGAGAATTAGGCCCAGAGAAGGAAAGGAGCCCCCAAAGCGGTAGTGGCTGGGGACTGAACTGGAGTCCAAGTGTTTGGGTTCCCAGCCCAGGATCCTGCTCCGTAGGATTCCGGAGGAAACAGGTGTGAGACTGTCCCCGGCCGAAGGGCGCCCCCTACTGTCTAGCAGAGCAGGACGCCAAGTAGACCTGACTTGGAGGATGGGCTTTAGGGTTGAGAGGAAGCTGGGAATCGATGCCCAGGTTTCTGCTTCGGTTAGTTACAACAAAGGTGAGGTCCATGGAAGGGTGAGGGCCTCATGTCCACACCTCGGTCTCGAATCCCCAACTCCATTTCTACCTGTCAGAATCCCACCCAGCTGGAGGCCACCTCCTGTAGGAAGGAAACCAAACCCTGCAGAGATCATCTCTCCCACTTGGGGCCACCTCCTTCCCTGGGCACCAACATGGTCACCTACTCAGTGGGTCAGGTGGCCTTCTGCCCCAACCTGTGACCTCACCTGTGGCCTAGTTTCTCTCCACTGTTGGGGGAAGGGGGGCGGTGCCTGGGATGGGATGAGGAATGTGTGGGGCCTCCTGGCCTGCCTGTGACCTTCAACACCCCCCCCACCCCTGCTCCCCAGAGGTGAACGACGGGCTATGCCACCTGCTCACAGTGGCCTGCACCACCATGAAGCCGCAGACAATAGGCCTGGCCAAGGACGCTTGGGAGATCAGCCGCAGCTCCATCGCTCTCGAGCGCCGGCTGGGCACCGGCTGCTTCGGGGACGTGTGGCTGGGTACGGAGGTCCCGGGGGCGGGGCGAGGGCTTGGGACATGGGGAGCCGGTGCTGACGAGCCGCGACCACATGGCAGGCATGTGGAACGGCAGCACGAAGGTGGCGGTGAAGACCCTGAAGCCGGGAACCATGTCCCCGAAGGCCTTCCTGGCGGAGGCGCAGATCATGAAAATGCTGCGGCACGACAAGCTGGTGCAGCTGTACGCCGTGGTGTCGGAGGAGCCCATCTACATCGTGACCGAATTCATGTGCCACGGTGAGGGGCGGGGTGAGGAGGCGGAGTCTGGGTGGCGGGACTTGGGGCGAATTCAGACGGGTGTCGGGGGCGGGTGGGCGGGGGAGGGACCTGAGGGGCTACTTGTGATGGGACGGGGACTTTGAGCTAGAGTCGGAGAAAGAGGCCGGGATGAGTGAAATCAAGTGAGTCCTGGGAGTGGGGGCGGGTCCAAGTTTAGATAAGGGGGGGCTGGGGGGCGGAGCCTCGGTCGTGGGGTGGTGGGTCTCCTCTGGTGGCTGGGGCTTGGACGAATGAAGATCGAATCTGTGATGAGGAAGGATCTGGGGCGCAGTGTGAGTGGGACTTGTCTAGGGGAACGGAGGAGGAGAAGAAACGAGCTGTAGGTAGTCTGGGTGCCTGTGGGAGCGAGTCCTGAGCGAGATCTGTGCGGGGTTGAGGCAGCTGGCTGACTTCTAGTGGGGGCGGGTCTAAGTGAGAGGGCGGGGGACAGGGGGCGGGGCCAAGCTGTGAGATGCGAACTAGGTGGGGCGGAGCCAAGCGAGGGAAGGCGGGCCTGGAGCTGGGGGTGGTCTTGCTGATATTTCTTTTCTTTCTTTCTTTTTTTTCTCTCTTGCTGATATTTCTGAGTTCCTTTCCTCAGGTAGCTTGCTGGAGTTCCTCAAGGACCGGGAAGGCCAGGATTTGACACTGCCCCAGTTGGTGGACATGGCAGCCCAGGTAAACTGGGACAGCAACCTTTATTTCAGATTGCTCTCCTATTAACCTCCACAAATCCGTGTGCCTTCAAACACCTGCCCTACCCCGGGAAGTACATACAGCCCCATCCACTGAATCATCTGTGCGACCTGAGACGGGGCACTGCCCGTCTCTGAGCCTCAGTCTCCTCATCTGGAAAGTGGGGTTTTCAAGTGATCTCTCACACAAGCCATGGTGTTTCTGTTCCCATTTCTCCATAACTTGGCCCCCCCACTAGGTGGCTGAGGGCATGGCCTACATGGAACGCATGAACTACATCCACCGCGACCTGAGGGCAGCCAACATCCTTGTTGGGGAACGGCTGGTGTGCAAGATCGCTGACTTCGGACTGGCCCGTCTCATTGAGGATGATGAGTACAACCCCCAGCAAGGTGCCGTGCCTCACCTCACCTTCCAAGAGCTCCCTGGCACACTAAGGGGCTGTCACGGGGCCCCACATATTCAAGAACCATTCCCTCCACTCCCAGAACATCTGGGATACTCCCATCCTGATGTAGTAGAAGAGGCAACTCTAGGTTTGAATCTTTGCTCCTCTACTTACTAGCCAAGTGGCCTTGGGCAAGTCACCTGACCTCTGTGAGCTGTTTTTTCTCATAACTAAAATGAAAATATTCAGAGAAAAGGAAGTCAACAGATATTTATCAAGCACCTAGTATACGCCAGGCACTACCATAATTCTCAAGGGAAAGACAGTGGAGTGTAATGGTGTGAACTCTGTAGGCAGAATGTCTGGGAGTGAATGTGAACACTTCAAAGCTATGTGATCTGGGCAAGTCACTTAACTAGTCAGTGCTTCCTTTTCCAAATCTGTACAATGAGGATAATATAGTTATCTATCTCGCAGGGTTTTGTTTTTGAGGTTAAATGAGTTAATGCCTGTAAATCACTTTAAAACAGTGCCTGGCAGGGGCACCTAGCTGGCTCGATTGGAAGAGCATGCAACTCTTGATTTCAGGGTCGTGAGTTTTTGAAAGTTTATTTATTTCAGTAATCTCTACAGCCCACATGGGGCTCGAACTCACAACTCCAAGATCAAAAGTCACAAGCTCTTCTGGAGCCAGCGCCTGGAGCCAGCCAGGCGCCCCACCATGCCATTCTCTTAATCCAGCTGTACCAGGGACCTCCTTGATGACTCCCCCTTCTCTCCAAATCTCTCCAGGGGCCAAGTTCCCCATCAAGTGGACAGCCCCGGAGGCTGCTCTCTTTGGCAGATTCACCATCAAGTCAGATGTGTGGTCCTTTGGAATCCTGCTCACTGAACTCATCAGCAAGGGCCGAGTACCCTACCCAGGTTTGCTGGGGTGGGGAGGTGGAGACGGGTGGGTGGTCATGGGGACAGTTTCCTCCTGGTTGCCTCTTTGGAAGGGGCTAGGCCCCCTAATTGACAGAGTCTCTCCCTCCAGGCATGAATAACCGGGAAGTGTTGGAACAGGTGGAGCATGGCTACCACATGCCGTGCCCCCCAGGCTGCCCAGCATCCCTGTACGAAGTCATGGAGCAGACCTGGCGTCTGGACCCAGAGGAGAGGCCCACCTTCGAGTACCTGCAGTCCTTCCTTGAGGACTACTTCACCTCCACAGAACCCCAGTACCAGCCTGGGGATCAGACATAGCCTGTTTGGGCATTCACCACCTTTCTGGGGTGCCCACCAATCCCTTCCAGTCCCCAGGGCTCTGGTCCCAAAGCCCCCAGGCTTAGACCCCTATAGGATCCTAGCATGTCGGAACAAGCAGGTTGCTCTGACAACACCGAGGGCACCCCACTCATTTTAAAGATGGGGCCATTCCAGGCTTAGAGATCATCCCTGACTCTGGCCCCAAGCACTATTTCTCCCCTTCCCACTTAGGCTCCTACCTCTAGACTCTCTTCCCACCTCTCCCCCAAAAGAAATGCTCAGACTTTGTCTAGTTATTTATAAAATTGTATATCCTTTCCATCAAGCACCTCCTATCCCTGCTTTTTTACCGTATCATCCCACCCTGAGTTCACCTCCTACTCAGTTCTCTTGTGTCTGTAAGTTGCAAAGACAGGGTAAGTTTTTGCTGGAACCCTTTCCTGCTGGGTGGATGCTGTGGTCCGGGCCTGGGGTCCAAGCCCAGGGTGAGGGAAAGGCTTGCTGAGGACCCACCGCCTCTCTGAATCACATGTGTGTTTATTGCTTTTTGTAAATAAGAAAAGTGACAATATGAATCCTTGAGCCATGAAAATCCCTTCTGTTAGGGGGAACGGTGGCCAGAGGAAGGTGAGTGTGATTGCTCTGGCTACTGGGAGGAGGGAGAGGTGAGAGCATGCCCTAATGCCTACTGAACACAGGGAACTCACAGTGTGTTTGGGGGTACCCGGAAGTCCTGAGGCTTGTCCCCATGTGAGTTTAGGACAGGTTGAGAGATAGATACAGAAGATAGGCAACTGGAGCTTAAAACGTCCCCTTCGTTACTGAAATGGCTCTCAGTCTGTGTGCCGTGGGTTTGTTAATTCCCTACTTGATTTCAGCAGATACATCCTTCATCCCCGGCACAAGAGCAGAACCTATTAGGCCTCTCTTGACAGGGGCAGTGGGGAAGACCACAGTGGACTCTGCAGCTCCCCAAGAAAAGGATAGAAGGGCGGGGCAGGGAGAGAGGTCTGAGAGCTAGTCTAGCTCATTGGATTTCACTCCAGACAACTCTGACCCCTAGGGGGTCTTGGAGAGGTCTTGGAGAGGAAGTTTTGTTGGGTCACAAGGACTGGGGGCTCCTATTGGCATGTAGTGAGACAGGGATTGGGGGTACTAAACAACTCGCCAGACACCTGAGCAATGAAGAATTGTCCCATGTCCTTGCTGCTGCTGTGAGAGACTCTGGCCACTGATGTGCCTCCAGGTGGAAACAAAAGGAACAGGAGTAAGGGTTCCCACCTGTCCCATCAGGAGGTCGTGGACTGCTGACTTCTGAAGGGAATGGACAGGGTTGGGGGTGGGGAAGAGTCTGGGAGCTAGGAGTCACTGCTGCAACTGGCAGACAATTACTAAGCATTAACTCTGGGAAGGTCCCTTTGCTAGGCAGGACCCCAGACCTGTCTCGGTCCTGGAGGAGTTCACAGCCAGTATGGGGAGAAAAAGGAATAATAATAACTCACTTATTAAGCACTGCATGCCAGAATGTGTTTACATCCATCTTTTAATTTAATCCAGTTCTGAGTCTGGTTCTATGACTAGCTCCCATTGACAGATGAGGAAACTGAGGCTTTGGGGTTACATGGTGTACCAAGGTCACACAGGTGCATGGGACCGAGCTGGGACATGAACCTAGGTCTCATACCAAGGCCCACGATCTTTCTAGACTCTGGGCTTTGGGAAGAGATCTGATCTACTCCAGGTAGATATATGGAGGATCCTCCCCCCTCTAGACATTTTTAGGTTCCCTGGAAATGCCCCCACATTGAGTATCCTAAGGAAAGGGGACAAGGTGGCCAATGCAGATTGAGTTCCCTGTACTGAGCCGTCTTGGGGATCCCTGTATGGAAGCAGTAAGATGGAGAGAGGTCAAGAGGCTGCTGAGAGGGGTGGTTCCAGGGTTGGGATCCTTAGCTTTGCACACTCGAACTCAGGGTCCATGGCTTCCCAAGAGCCTGTCTCAGGCTGACTGAACTCACACGAGCCTGACACACAAGCCAGAAGTCAAATGTGTCCGCCTCCACGGGCTAAGCAGATCAGAGCCCCGCCCTGGAGCTGCAGGCCTGGTGAGAAGCTTGCCGCCACCACTCGCTCACTGTGTGACTTGGGGCAGGTTATTAATCTCTCCATGCCTCAGTTTCCTCCTCTGTGAAATGGCAATAAAATGTTCAACTCGTGATCGCCCTCTCTGTCACTACCACTTACAGATTACGTATTCTGGGCTGGGCGTCCTGCGAAGCACTTGCCGCCATTGAAACTTCACAGAAATCCATGAGGAGAAGGCTGTTGTATCTTCATTCTACTAGGAAGGAAACTGAGGCACAGTGAAGTAAATAGTTTTAAGTAGTAGGGCAGGGGCTTGAACTAGGCCCTCTGACTCCAAAATCAGTGTGCTTAATCCCTACAGCTCTTTCTCCTGGGACCAGAATATTCTTGCCTGTCCAACGGGGCTTTACCTTGTACCTGGACACCTATTTGGTTTAAATGAAGGCCCAGCAGAATAGTAAACCTCTTGGAGTTGACCCTCGGTGCTCCGCAGCAGAGACCAGAGCCCACTGAGCTTGGAATCCCTGTTTCTACTGGTTCCCTATCCTCCCTCTAGTGCGGCCAAATGAATTCTCCCTTGCACCCCCTTTTCTGTGCATCCTTCTGTTCCCTTCTGATAGAGCACAATGCAATTGATTAGACCTCTGTTTTCTCAATTTCAATCACATCCTGGCCCTGCCTCCCTGAGATTACAGGCGGGTCACCTTGATTGTGGTTTCCACCGTTCACAAAACTCTTTAGTCATTTACGAAACCATCTCTCGCCTCATTCACTCCCCCACCTGGCTCTTCTCCTCTGTGATGCTGTGTGGGTTTTACTGGCTTAAGACTCAGAGGGCAATTTTATTTCCAAGCTCGTGGTGGGGGAGGAGGACACCTAATTGATGAATGCTGGCATCATCTAATTTGATCCCCACTACGAGGCTGTGCAGAAATGTGATTATTCCCATTGTACAAAAGAGGAAATGAAGACTCCGAGAGGCTTCAACATTTGCCCAAGGTCACACAGCTGGATGGCAGAGTCAGAATTTGAACCCTTGCACTTCAAAGTGTCATGCAATCACACTGTGTGATAGTCTCTTATTTAATGGAGCAGCATGGAAACATATAATAACAACCTAGAGTCAAGTTCAGGGAGGGCATAGTGCAGATGAGTCTGGAGCAGCCCCATATATGCCGAAGGTTATATTCATAAAAGAACCAAGTCATTTAGTAATTTTGCACACATTTACTGATGTCTCCTGTAAGCTAGTCCTGACCAGGAGGCAGAGCAGTAAATGATTACAACACTTAGGGGCAAGGTCACTCTGGAAGCCAAGGGAGACTTCTTGGAGGATGTGAAAGAAAAGTCTGCCTGATGAAGCAGCCAGAGGGTGAGATCATCTCACATGGGGGGAACAGTATGTGCAAGGGCTCAGAGATATGGTAGAGCAAGGCCAAGTCAGGCAAGTGCAAATAATTATGTATGGGAGGATTGAGGGTGCAGATGAGGCATGGAAGAAGGTTGGGAGGTCAGAGGCAAAAGGCAGAAGGGTCAGAAATCCAAGGGGTATGGCCCCTGAGTCATGGAGAAAAGTCACAGAAGAAATCTGGGGGGTGGCCAGGACTTATTGGGGGTACCTATATTGGATCCTATTGTTTTGTACTGAGTTGGGTGGACCTACTACCTACTATCTACTCCAGTAGTTCTCTCCCCCTCCCCATTTTACACACACACACACACACACACACACACACACACACACACACGCACGCACGCACGCAGGCACCAGCTCCTGGACCGTCCTTACAGTGATGTCCATGCTCCCTCTAGTGTCCATTCTGGGTACTACACCCAGAACTCAAGGAAACTTTCCCCTGGGATGGGAAGACTAGGTCCCTTTTGGAACTTCCCACCAGAGGATGGTAGTTTCCTGCTCTCTTTATGGTAGTGAGGACAATAGGACAGGCACAGGCTGAAAATGACGATAAAGGGTGTGTAGGAGAAAAGGGTCGGGTCCTAATTCAACTGGACAGGAGGAAGTCAGGAAGGCTACTCATTGGAAGTGTTGCTTCACCAGAAACTTGCAAAGGGAGTAAAAGTTTGCTTGGTAAAGAAGGAAGAGAAGGACATTCTAGACTTGACAGAATTAAGTGAGCTCAGAGGGGACCATGCAGGGAGTTTCAATTAGGTAGGTGTGACTGGAGTAATTTGAGGGGCATTAGTGGCTAAAGATGAAGATAACCAGGTAGGTTACCATGGGGCATGTCTGCTATGCATTCGGGCTAGGATTCTAGGCTGTGGATAATGGGAAGCCACAGGATTTTGAGCAAAGGAGTAACAAAGTCAGATTCATTTTTCAGAATGAACCCCCTGGTGACCAATGCAGAGGAGGAATGGGAGGGGAAGAGGTAGGACAGGGATATACCTCATGATACAAAGAACCACACCAGATCCCACTAATAGAAGGATGTATAGCTTTGAGCAGGTCTGTGAACCATACATATCGATACATGTGATGTGACCTCCAGACACGTCCGTGGGATCTCATGCTGAGCACCCACAGACAAACAAATCCATAGTAATACACACTCAGATGCAGAACTCAGGTCCATGAGCCCAGGGGAAACCAAGAACATACAATTCCCTCCAGACACAGGCTGACAGTGAGAACCACACATACCATACCCTGACAGACCTAGGAATTCTCTCGCGCAAGCACACACACACTCTCTCTCTCACACAGACACACACACACACACACACACACACACACACACACACACATACACACACACACTCACACACGCAGTGTGGCTGTCAGGGGCCCTACTCTGCCCCCTTCTGTGTACCCATCCCCCCCCCCCCCCCCCCCCCCCCCCCCCCCCCACCCCCGTCCTTCACCACCTCCAGCAGGAACAAAGCTGACCTTTGCCCTCTGGCCTCTGGCCTCTCCTCCCACACCCCTTGCCCAGAGGGAGGAGCTGTTTGAAGTCTGGGCTGCAGCTGGGGTTTCCTGTTGCCTGGAGGAATGTGGGAGGACATGGGGGGTGGGGGAGGCTAGCCCAGGAGGAGGGATAATGGGGACCTGGGGGCCTTAGTTCCCACTGTACCATTATGAGGAGGGGCTTCCTGCTTCCAGGATCTCTAGGGCCCCAGCTCTGAGCTGTTCCCATCCTGAGGAGGGGAAGACCGAGGCCCTAAAGGCTCTAGTCCATTGAGTCTCTTGATTCCTGGATCGGTAGCTCAGAGGCTTAGAAGAGTCCCTCAACCTCTCTCGCCTCAGTTTCTCCTTCTGTGGACTGGGCTGAACCACTCTCTAGCAAACCACACCTCACCTGAGGTGAGCTCCAAGAGTGGGGCTAGCCCTAGTATTTCTGTAATCAGGGAAGGCAATGCCTATGCCCACCCAAGGCTCACTTCTCTCTGCCTTTTCCATGAGCCCCAAGGGCCTGTCTCCAGGCTGCTGTGACCTCTCAGTTATTGTCATTGTTATTCTCATGACTCAGTCCCTCAGCTCGCCCTTGCCAGTTTTCAAAGTGCTCTCATATCCTTGTGCTCAGTAAATCTCCACAGCCCTTCCTGTAAGACAGGGAAGGGATTACTCCTCTATTTTACACGTAGGAGTACTGTGAGACTACGAAAGGTGAAGATGCAGGCTCTCCAAGAACAGCAGGTCTTCTCCTTCAAGTCTGCCTTCTGGGGGAGCTTACAATTCCCGAGCCCAGCCTGTGGGGACTCTGACGCTATTTCTGAGGACTGGGTAGCCCTCTTTTAGACTGCAGCTACCGGAGCATTTGTGGAGATTCGACACTAGGTGGCAGCAGAGCCCACGGGAAGAATCTGCCGGAGTTTGGGAAGACCCCCCCCCCCCCCAAACTCGACATAATTTAGAGAAGCTGCAAGAGAAAGACCAGCCTCTAAATGACGGGGGAAATCCGGTAATGCCTGGTGTCCCACGATGCTCAGTACCTTAGGGGTCAATAGTAGCCACCCTGCCCAGCTGAGACAGCCCGGATGGAAGGCACGTGCTTGGAAAACACAACCTAACTTCTCTTACTCTCTTATTCCAGGTGCCACGGTCCACCCAGCTGGTCTTGCCCTCTGTGCCTCATCACTAAATCTCTCCCCTCTTGGGACTTTCCCAAATTCCTCTTCATCTCAATCTACCTGGGGCTTCCCATTTTCCCTAAAACACCCACATTCCTCCCAAAACTTGGATCAGACTAGGTAGGATCTTCACGCTCTGGGGCAAAGCCTAAGGACTAAGCATGTATGTCATGAAGGTGAGGGTCGGGGTGTGTGGGGTGGGGAGAAAGGGGAGACTCTTCCACCTTCCCGAAGTTAAAGTGTCTCCCATGGGGTACCAGCTAGAGCACAATGCTAAAGCCTCATTTATTTGCAATAACTTTAGTTTCAGGCTTTGGACCCAAAAGTGCCCCTAACAGCTTAAACCACTGCTTTCATTAATATCTGACCTTATAATACTTCCCATTCAATGAAGAAATCTCTGAACCCACGGTTTGCCTACAAAGAGGAGCTGCTTCCCAATGGGGTGTCTCCAGTTGGCCATGCCAGCCCCCTGATGCCAGATAAACAGGTGGACTGTTTACACTGTTTAGAACCCTAGATCTCTCTCATTGCTGCTGCCCTCCTAGCCCCGCCTCCATCAAAGGGCCGAGAGAGAGTGCTCCCCAGAACCCTCTTCTTTTGCCCTTTGGGGTTTCAGACTGTCCTTAAAGGAGGTGCTTGGGAGGGGGAGAGGTGTAGGGAAGGTGGTGACAGGGGAGTTGTAGTTGGAGAAATGTTACCACCTGCCTTTGTCACACTCTGGCCATCACCCTGCAGGGCCAAAGGAGGAGTCAGAAACAGGTGGCCCGGGGCGCCTGGGTGGCTCAGTGGGTTAAAGCCTCTGCCTTCGGCTCAGGTCATGATCCCAGCGTCCTGGGATCGAGCCCCGCATCGGGCTCTCTGCTCAGCAGGGAGCCTGCTTCTTCCTCTCTCTCTGCCTGCCTCTCTGCCTACTTGTGATCTCTCTCTGTGTGTCAAATAAATAAATAAAATCTTTAAAAAAAAAAAAAAGAAAGAAACAGGTGGCCCAAGAACAAAGGCACTTCTGGAAGAACTTTAGATGGAGGGGTGAGACAGACAAA